CTTTTGGTGCAGGAGGTGCGTGAAGAGCAAAGTCATGAAGAATCACTTCTTGCCTGTACGGATCTGAAATCCCTTCCAAGAAGTCTGCAAGAAGTGTTGTGTGATAAGAACTTAATGTGTTTTAAACTGGGTCAGAAGATTTCCCAGGGGAAATCCAGTCCGTGCGACTATTCTCCCTTTTATTTTGTGCCATGCTTCTTGGGCAGAGCCTTTTAGTATATCATGTGTCAGGTTTGCAAAAATTCTAGGCAAGAGGCTTGGAGTTCAGACATGCCTGGTAGTCACTTTTCTGTTTTTTTTTTCACGATAACAAAAAATTGGTACTAATTGTGTAGCTCTTAATAAGATCTTAACATGGTGTGCCTTGTTATTGGTCGTACCGAAGTGGAACTTCTGGTTTTGGTATCTCTGCATGTACTCACATAACAACATATTTTCCATCTGCATCTTGTAGGTTTACAAAGCTACCTGGAGAGGCCACACCGTGGTGTATAGTAACCTGACTGAGGAGGCTTTCCAGCAGGACTTCCTACATGGTGTAGAGATGCTGAAGAACATGCAACACACTTCACATGTCGTGCAACTGGTGGGATCATGCCACACAACTCTCCTCACAGAGTATTACAGGCTTGGATCTGCAGAAAACATTGAGACCGTCTTAGACAGTGAGGAGTTCAGCAAGTTAAACAATGTTTGGGCAAGATTTAACGTGGCTCTGAGCTACCTGGAAGCAATACATTTCCTACACAATAGTCCAATTGGCACAAGGGTCATGTGTGACTCAAATGACCTCTTTAAGACCCTGTCCCAATTTCTTATCACAGAGGATCTTAAACTTGTCTTAAATGATTTGGACGCGTTACCAGAAGTAAATCCAGAAGCACGGCTTTTTGTTAAGTGTGGAAGACGAGAAATTGTGTCTGATTTTGTTGCACCTGAACAGCTTTGGCCCTTCGAAAGTGAGCCATTTGAGGACTCGAGAATGCCTTCATATGATGAAAAAACGGACATTTGGAAAATTCCAGCTGTTGTTGACTACTTACTGGGAAATGTAGATGGAAGTGATGTTGTCAGATTACACTTGTTCAAAGTGCATCAACAGTGTCACAACAAGAACCCCACGCAACGACCAAGTGCCAAGATATTATTAAAGGAGTACAAGAGGGTTAAGAATACACTTTTTCCTGAATATATAGCATAATGTGACTATTAGTCCTGGACGTACTAAAAACTTATTAGCGTGCAATTTAGGAGTTTTCATTTGTACACATAAAATGGCTTACTATGTTATTTATGACAACATTGTGATGTCGATGTTAAAAAAACATACATTTCCCAGTGTATTTAGCTCTGAAGATGCAATGCAACATTGGCCATTATGTTTTTAAACTACCCGCCACTCAATCATATGATGAATAAACATTCCAGCCACTAAACATCTGCTAAATGTAATAATGTAAAGAAGAAAGATAAGCATGGACACTCCATACTGGACATCTACTGTTAGATTTATTTTGGAGTACATGTAGATGATATTTTGTGTAAAGCTTCAGTAGACAAAAATACAAGTTTCTACAGACACTACTACAATGCAAGCAGCTTCATCCCCATATTTTCCATCACCATGTGTAGCATTAATCCATACCATTTGAGCATGGCTTTGCACTGTATTCAATATTGTATATCCTTTTATATTCCTTTCATCCTATCTTGAAATACAATTCTTCAAAGAAGCTATCCCTAGAACAGATTATTTTTATTGTAAGAAAATTTTAGTTTTGGATTGGCATTACACTTTCATTAAACCTTGTTAAATCAAAAGAAGCCATATCATGATCAGATTGTACCAAGCAAGTTTATGCTTGGTGACATGAAAAAGTCCACACATTATTGCAGCCTCAATACCTTTATATTATACATGTACATGTAATACCCAATGACATGTAATACCCATTGTAAATACACATGTACCTACTGGTATTATCTATGCAACAAACAACACTGCCTACAAAAATACATCTATCTACAGACACACATCAAAATCTAGTTCTCTGTTATCTCTTTGAGACAAATAAGTCTGACCAGAGCAAGTATGTATTATGAAGAAAGAGCTGCTCTTTTACAGTTGCAGTTTAGATGTCTAATGTACTCAACAGCAGCAACCATCACATTTGGTGGTGCAGATGGTGGCTTTCAGTACTGCAGATAAGAAGAGCATGGCTTTTCTTGATACATTACTACAATAATAGTACAATAGTACACACATTTGGTCCATTACAAGTTTAGGATCCCTACCTGAACCTGTGAAGTTACCTTATTTTTTGGAAAAAATGTCAGTATTGCCACTTGTTTGACATTATGACTGGTACATGTACCTTATTTCTGTTAACTTTGAAGCGTTATCTAAATAATTGTTTTGTCCTCTCTGTTCAAACTTTTGGCTACAGACTCGGCAAATGGTTGATCTTCTTGTGAACATTACTCTGGTGAAGAAGCACAACATCATCATTAAAAGTTCATGAACACTGATTGTCTGTTACATACATACATTAATATGTTTTACGACACTTTGGGTAAATCTTCAGTCCCTTTAACCCTTATATTAGCCACATTTGATTGACTTGGTCCACATATATTACAGAAGATGGTCTCTTACAACCTACACTGTCCACTTTGCTTGTAATTTGTACTATCATCCTATGCTAACATCTGGCATTTGGTTGGTACTCATATACTGGTTGTACAGTACTTACATGGAGACATAATCACATAGCCTGTAAGTAAGGATGTACATGCAGACTCCTCAAATAAAATGGTAGCATATATCATAAACTGTCATAAACTATCATAAACTATATGGTAGCATATGTCATACAAAACAAAGGATCATACAAAACAAAGGATCATAAACTCACCAATGGAAACTAATTACTAATTTGACAACAATAAACAATTAATATACCATAATGAACATAGCCACTTTATCGATATTTCCACGGCAGATGCTCTGCTGAACTGCACTCCCTCATACCCCCACTCAGAACATTCTCTGCAAGAACACGCTTAGCCACCTCAACAGCAGAAAATCACCCTTTCTTCCTCAATAGTCCATCAGTCAAGAGAAAATTTCATGCTGACAGTTTCTTCCCCAGAACCACTTCACTGTGGAACAAGCTTCCCCGTGAATGTTTCACCGCAAATTACAACCTCCAACGGTTTAAATCAAGGGTGAACAAATATCTGACCACGCAGTCATCACTGTAACCCAAAACATGTAAGTGGCTCTCACGAGCCTTGTTTTGAGGTGAATTCCGAAGTAAATAAAAAAAAAATATAAAAAAAACCAATAGTAACACTATTTGTAAAGTACCTATATTTACCTTCGCCAAGAATTGGAGAAGGTTATGTTTTCCTGGCCGTGTGTCTGTCTGTCTGTCTGTCAACAGCATAACTCGAGAAAGCTTAGATGGATTATCTTTATACTTGGTAGGTGGGTAGGTCTTGATGAGAGCTCGAAATGATTAGATTTTGGGCCCCCTAGCGGCTTGTTATGGTACTGCAGCTGAACTTCCGGTTTTGATATCTCACGATCCAGACATGCTAGGGTGACAAAATTTGGATGGTAGGTAGCTCTTGTGCTGGGAAAGGAGTGACGTAAGTTTGGGCCCCCTAGCGGGTTGCCCTGGAACTGCA